TGAATGATCACACATTATGCTACATTACAGTTTTGAACACAGTATGACTATAAATATGTATTAGAAATAAATATTAAGCTTTTAAAATTGTTATTCTCTTCCATCCCGCTGCTAAATATGTTTTATTTATATATTATATATCTTTTTAATAAAATTTATTATTTGTCAATATTAAATATTAAACACTGATATGTTAAAGCATTTGATTGGCATTCTGAAGAAAAGTTACTCAGCTATCATAGTTCGTGGAAAAACATTTTCAATCGTAAAATTCAATTAAAATACTTTGTCATATGCTCATAGTTATCTGTGTGCAACCACTACTTTTATTCAATAGCATTGTTATTTTACAGCGACGATAACTTCAATCATTTTCAAGTATCCTTATCGTATTTCACTGTTTTAAGTTAATACGCCTCCAATAATCCAAAAAATAAGTATTATATGCATTACATTCTATTAATCATATCATCATAATACTGTAAGCATTTCATGTAATTAACAAATTAATTAAATAAAACTTTATAATTATTGCATTTACGCCCATAGTTCAGTATAATTCTCTAATTTTATATAGAATAAATTCAAGCATTGTAGTTCAGGATGTGAGAAATTGCTACACACAATTTTTGGGTCTTATATTTTATAAAATTATTAATAAATTAAAACGCCAGTGTTCTATCCATATATTTCTATCCGTAATTTTTTTAAAAGGTTTTTTTTTAAATTACTCGACCGCACTGTTGATTGCAAGAAGTTGACGAAACCACAGAGTCACCCGTGACCTTCAAACTGTAGTGTTCGAAACACTGCAAACATATTCAAACGAGGAGTCAAGAATGCACTAAAAACAAAGAGAAAATTAATCATGAACAAAATTATCAGAAAACATTTTTTTATTTATTGCTTAGATGGGTGGACGAGCACAGCCCACCTGGTGTTAAGTGGTTACTGGAGCCCATAGACATCTACAACGTAAATGCGCCACCCACCTTGAGATAAGTTCTAAGGTCTCAGTATAGTTACAACGGCTGCCCCACCCTTCAAACCGAAACGCATTACTGCTTCACGGCAGAAATAGGCAGGGCGGTGGTATCTACCCGCTTCGACTCACAAGAGGTCCTACCACCAGTAAAAAGCCTATCCAAAGATCTTATACTTTGCAATTATGCTTCATCCGTAAATGACGATTCTCTAACACCTTACCTACCTACACTTTAAATTATTACAGATTAGCTGAAACCCCACGTCTGTAATTCATTAAATGAAACCAATTTATTAAGCTTACTGAGAATAATCTACGAGTACCTATTCATTAAAATCCCCCTCCATAAATTCGAAGCTCTATGTTTCAAAAATACTTTAGACTCAACGTTGATTTGTATAGGGTAGTTTTTGGGTTTTTATTATGGCCTCGTTGTATTTCTTTTATTTATTTAATATATTTTGTACACACAGCTGTTAGAAGAAACACGACAATAAGGATACAGAGTACAAGGGCACTACTTATTTCATGTTGAAATCTCTTCCAGTAGGCCCGCAAAAGGAAAGTAGAATTAGGAACACAAACCTAGTGCATACAGTAAACATTACATATAATAATATATACATATTGCAAGATACAAAACAATATATATATACATACAAATAGACACACACACACACACATATACATATACTATATATACACATATATATACTTACTTTATATTGTAATACTGAGGTGGCTACTCTGAGAAGTGTTTATCACATCTCAGGAGCAAGCAGCCAAGTATGTGCAATTACATTTCAATTAAGACATAGTTGTTATATGTTAATGAAGATATCGCCCCGAATTAAGACATGAAGCGTGCAATCCATATTAGTTCACGACCGAAAAAAATCAAGTTCAACAAGTAGGAACAACTAATATACTCTTGTGAATTATTGTCACCATATGTTTCAAAATACTATGTACATATATATGTAACTCGAAAGAACAAAGTGTCATAATGTATTACCGTTATGTATTAACATTATGTATTACCATTATGTATTTAACAATTTCAAAACAAACATGATCACTTCGAAGTTTCTGAGACCCTTGTCACGTCTATCAGCCATTATTTGTGATGTCACAGTCCGACCAGTTCAATGGAGAGTGATGTCCTTCACAGGAAACGGATATTACGTTTAGTTTGGTAAACCTTTTATGCTTGTAATTTATTCGTTTGAGTTGAAATATGTAGTATAGAAATTGATTTAGGCTGATACTGGCAACGAGCGTTGCCTGCCCCGCATGGGAGGGGTGGCGCCGTGTCCTTGTCGCAAAAATAGGAAACGACTTGTCGTTGCCGAGTGTTGTGGCATCGATGCTCGGCAACGACGAGTCGTGGAAGGCGATGCTCGACTTCTGCGAGTGCACCATCTCGCAGAAGGAGGCGGCGGGGCGCGTGAGAGACGCACAAGCCCGCCGCCGTCGANACCGGTCCGGCGTCCGTGGGACGGTGGGATGGATGTAATGTGCTCTGCGTCAACCCTGTCCCGCCGTTTCAATAGCCCCGACTGGGCTCCGGCCCGGTCCGAGGTAGGGCGCCGGTTGTGAGCGGCAGGAGTTTTTAGTGAGGTTCAACTCCCACATACCCCACCTGCCGCGCGGGTGGGGATCCGGCGATTTTCTCCTGTGGAAAAAATAAAATAAAAAAAATATATATAGTTTGAATGGAGACTAATAATTAAATAAAATGATCAAGTGGACGAAGCCAAGGGCCAAACCTGATATTTGAATAAAGCGCCAAGATAGGACAAGAACACCGTGAAAGCTTATTAAAAACTTCGTAAAATCTCTTCAATCGAAATTTCCCAATTTGCTATAAAATTAAAGCAAAATTTTGTAAACTTTATGCTTATCGGTTTTTAGCTTCGTCTCATGAAATTTCTTATACCATCGTTTGGTTCAAACGTTTGGTTAAACAGAATAGACGACAGAATAGATAGCCATTAGGGCAAATTAACTGTGATTTTGGCACAGCAGTATGGTGTAGATATCGTGCTATAAGTCGAATTAGCTGCTATTCGGATGGGGGAAGCATGTGAAAAAGGCGTAGATCAACTTATATAGGTTCTATATCTTTTGGATAGACAATTTTACGATGTTCCAATCCAATTAATGTTAAACGGTTGTTGGAACCCACGGCACCACTAGATATTATATCCTTTAAAACGGAACGCAGGACTTCTTCGGGTGTCGGGTGTCGGGTGCCGGGTGCGGGGGTGCCCAGTACTCGGCTATCGGTCCAGTGGTGAGGCGGCCTGTGCACCTGTGCACCGCTCACGGTGTGTCTCCGAGACGACGCCCTGCGGGATTTTCCCGGGGATGGAGTGCCGTCCTATTATCAGGATGGGTACCGGCGACGGCGAGCCTTCGGAATCGGAGTGGTGGGGCTCGATGGGGTTTAGTCGGTAGTCGGTTTTGCGGGGCAGCTCTTGCGTGGCTAACGCCATGCAGTGCCTCGCGCGCCTTTCTCAAGGCGTAGTTTCCCGGCAGGAATTGGGAGAAGAGGAGGACCCCTGTCTTCTTGTTCTCCCTGTTCTTCTCTGGAGGCGCCGGAGTCCGACATAGCCCGGTCTCTTACCCCCCTCGACCGGGTATCCGAAAATGGGTTACCCAGCGTTAAAAAAAAAAAGGACTTCTTCGGGTGGGCTCATAACACGACCTATTGTTGGTAATTACGAAAAATTATAAAAATTAGTAGTTTGTGTTGTGCCCGTCTACAATACAATTATTAAGCAAATTTATATTAAGTAATAACTTGTGCTCCTAATGAGTAGCTGGACTAATCCATATTTGATATTATAAATGCGTATGTCAGTTTATTTACTTAAAACAGTTTCACCCAATCACCATGAAATTTGGCAAACACGCAGTCATCAGTATTGAAAAGGGCATAGAGGGCCACTCATCCAGAAAAAAAAAACAATTTCTGTCTATACTAAGATGAGTGAATTCGTGTGCAAAAGGTAGTAGCCAGCAATTTCTCTCAATTACACTGTATGTATCTCTGATTACATTTATTTTCTAAAATGCGCGAAAAATTCTTGGGATATGACATTTACTAGTTCCAGGTTACAATTACCGGTATCAGCCCAGTGGTTAACAGCCGCACACGAGTGCAGTGGCCGACAAATCTTTAAGTGGAACGATTTCCTACTTCAGCCACACGATCACCCTAATTGCTGGTACGTAAGTTCAGCACATTTATTTTATAAGAGCTTGTACTGCAAAGCAGCCTTGAAATGTTGAAGATATTTTTTCGTAATTCTTTTTTAATCTATAATAAAAGTAGTTTTAAGTGTGAGTAATTCGTGATCCGGAAAACTGTAAAGTTTTTGAAACGTTGGAATAACAAAGAAAAATTTAAACAGTATTAATTATATCTCGAAACTACTCGCGAAAATTGAAAAAAATATCAAATAACTGAACAATTCCAAATATTATTGATTCATTTTATGATCCACAAAACTGAAATGAAATACACAATATGAAAAACACGAAAGAGAACATCATGTTTCGTGAAAAAAAAACAGAATTGAAACATTTGCGATTTAAAATGTAAATCAAAATTCTTTCGTAAAATTCGTGTTTTCAGAATGTAGTTTTAAGGATTTAAAACAAAACAAAAAAATCTAGAAGCGCTTTTCTGCTTTCTCCCGCTCGCAGGCGCGTAGCAAGCTATTTCGTAGCGATGTAGCCACTCGCCTACGACTGTGCTTCAGTACTACGCTCGCAGCCGCGGCCGCTGCCGCAAGATGTCGCCGCGGACACGCAACTTCTGCTTGGTTCGTTAAGCCACATTTACGAACGTAGTAGTAAAAGTTTATTACCAAAACACGTGAATACAGTGGTCGCTATTGTTTTCACTATCTAAAAAGATGTTAGGGTATGAACTGATATTATTTGTTTATGCTGGTACCGAAGTAAAGTAGTGACACTAAAGTTCGGTAATAAACCGTGCGTTACGATGTCCCTACGGAAGCTAGCTGTTATTTTAGTGATATTGTGTATCAGAGGTAAGTTTGAAAGCTCATTATTGGTTATTTCATCAGTGTCAAATGAAAAAGAAACATAATATTATGTTTTACAGCTTTATTTTCCCAAATCGAGACTTTTATAAATGCACATATTGTTTGTAACTTATGAGGAAGCTTATATCTCTACGTTGGTCTAGTTAGCAGTGATTTTGACTATTCTAGTGAATATTCTATAGGTCCGGAGTCTATTTTTTGTCGGAGTCAATACCTTTAATCAGGATTAATAAAGATTAAAGATATTTCGGTCTTAGTCTGGATATACATACTTATCATTGTCTTGTACGTGTTCCAAAACATTTTTTTTTCTGTTTATCACATTTAAGTAACTTTTAGTATTAACATTTTTCACTGTTATTGATTCATTGTTTGAATGATCACACATTATACTGCATTACAGTTTTAGACACAGTATGACTATAAATATGTATTATAAATAAATATTAAGCTTTTAAAATTGTTATTCTCTTCCATCCCGCTGCTAAATATTTTTTATTTATACAGGGTTACCTGAAATTTGATACATTCCCTTGGAGGGGTCAAAGTAGAGCTTATTTGCAATAGATTTTGTCATTATGAACCCTAGTCGATAGTGATTACTTTTTGAGATATTCAAGTTTTTGTGCTTTTATTTTTAAATACCGATTTTAGGCAAAAAAAAATATGCTCCTAAGTGAATGTTCCAGTTTGATCCTATTTTTAAGCATGATCTGATATCTAACATCTCCACACTTCCTCCAAATGACAATAAGCTGTAGTAACACTCTTAAACTTTATGTTATGAACGTAAACTCGCTAGAGTTCAATAGATTTTTTTTTAAAGCCACTTCATATTGAATTTGCTTCAAAAAATTGTATGGAACGTGTCGTACAAATTCCTAAAATAATTGTCCTGTCATTAGCTGCTCAAAATGGTACGAAATATTACAGTAGTTTTTAAAATCAAAAAGTTATTAGCTAGAAAGAAACATACAGAACATCAGTAGTTTTCGGATACGTAAACTTTTTTAATGGGAAAGAAATGAAAATCGGCTGAATCTTCAGATTATTTATTCAAAATATAAAATTACAAATCCTGCTCAAAATGGGAGCCACGGTTCTTAATACTCTCATTACGGTAGTACTCAGTACGGTAAACTATGTTATAAAGCATTTGATTGGCATTCTGAAGAAAAGTTGTTCAGCTATCATAGTTCGTGGAAAAATATTTTCAATCATAAAGCTCAATTAAAATGCTTTCTCACATGCTCCTAGTTATCTGTGTGCAACCACACCATTTATTCAATACGATTGTTATTTCACAGCGACGATAACTCCAATCATCTCCAAGTACGTTACCATATTTCACTGTTTTTAGTTAATAGGCCTCCAATAATCTAAAAAAATAATATTATATGCATCACAATCTATTAATTATATCATCATAATACTGTAAGCATTTCATGTCATTAACAAATTAAATAAACAAAAACAAAAAATAAATAAACAAAATAACTAATAATAATACTAAATATATAAATATATAATTATATTAAAATATATAATAGTAATAAATAAACAAAAATAAACAAAACTTTATAATTATTTCGTTTAAGTCCATAAGTTCAGTATAATTCTCTAATTTTATTTAGAATAAAGTCAAGCATTGTAGTTCAGGATGTGAGAAATTGCTACACAAAGTTTTTGGGTTATATATAAAATTATTGATCAAAATTAAAACGCCAGGATCTCTTAAGAGCTTTCTATCCGTAATTTTTAAAGGTTTTTTTTTTTAAATTACGTTGATTGCAAGAACTTAATTAAACCACAGTCACCCGTGACCTTCAAACTGTAAAGTGTTTGAAACACGGCAAACATATTCAAACGAGGAGACAAGAATTGACTAAAAACGAAGAGAAAATTAATCATGAAGAAAATTATCAGAAAACATTTTTTTATTTTTTTCTTAGATGGATGGACGAGCACACAGCCCACCTGGTGTTAAGTGGTTACTGGAGCCCATAGACATCTACAACGTAAATGCGCCACCCACCTTGAGATAAGTTCTAAGGTCTCAGTATAGTTACAACGGCTGCCCCACCCTTCAAACCGAAACGCATTACTGCTTCACGGCAGAAATAGGCAGGGCGGTGGTACCCACCCGCGCGGACTCGCAAGACGTCCTACCACCAGTAAAAAGCCTATCCAAAGATCTTATACTTTGCAATTATGCTTCATCCATAAATCCTCTAACACCTTACCTACCTACACTTTAAATTATTACAGATTAGCGGAAACCCCACGTCTGTAATTCATTAAATGAAACCAATTTATTAAGCTTACTGAGAATAATCTACGAGTACCTATTCATTAAAATCGTCCTCCATAAATTCGAAGCTCTATGTTTCAAAAATACTTTAGACTCAACGTTGATTTGTATAGGGTAGTTTTTGGGTTTTTATTATGGTCTCGTTGTATTTATTCTATTTATTTAATATACTTTGTACACACAACTGTTAGAAGAAACACGACAATAAGGATACAGAGTACAAGGGCACTACTTATTTCATGTTGAAATCTCTTCCAGTAGGCCCGCAAAAGGAAAGTAGAATTAGGAACACAAACCTAGTGCATACAGTAAACATTACATATAATAATATATACATATTACAAGATACAAAACAATATATATACATACAAATACACACACACACACACACACATATATATACACATACATATGCTTACTTTATATTATAATACTGTGGTGGCTACTCTGAGAAGTGTTTATTACATCTCAAGAGCAATCAGCCAGTAAGTGCAATTACATTTCAATTAAGACATAGTTGTTATATGTTAATGAAGATATCGTCTCGATTTAAGACATGAAGCGTGCAATCCATATTAGTCCACGACCGAAAAAATCGAGTTCAACAAGTAGGAACAACTAATATACTCTTGTGAATTATTGTCACCATATGTTTCAAAATACTGTGTATTTAAGTAAGTCGAAAGAACAAAGTGTCATAATGTATAACCACTATGTATTAACATTATGTATTAACATTATGTATTACCATTATGTATTTAACAATTTCAAAACAAACATGATCACTTCGAAGTTTCTGAGACCCTTGTCACGTCTATCAGCCATTATTTGTGATGTCACAGTCCGACCAGTTCAATGGAGAGTGATGTCCTTCACAGGAAACGGATATTACATTTAGTTTGGTAAACCTTTTATGCTTGTAATTTATTCGTTTGAGTTGAAATATGTAGTATAGAAATTGATTTAGACTGATACTGATATGAACTTACACGGTTTCATATCATCTGTAATGGACTGTATGATTAGGATTGGCAGGGAACTTGATAAATAAACTCGCGAGGATTGCACGTATAAAATTTTTATATTTTAGAAACTTTATAAATCGCGTACAATAGCACGGAAAAAAAAGAATGACAAAACTACAACATTCCAAAGTTCAAAATTCAAATGTAATGTCAAAAACCACAACGACAACATTAAAAAGGGTTTTATACTAATTTGTTGGGTTTCCAACATCATCTTCTGAGTTTATCTGTGACGAAGAAAGGATGTGGTTTGTGTTCATTTTGAGTCTGTCTGCATTTTTATGTTGTATTATTTTGTTCTCAAGGAAGATTCCATTTTAATTGTATCTATTTAAAGAATCCGTGGCATGTTACGAACGACCCTGGGCGTATTTTTGTCGAATCATTTAATTATGCTGGAGATTAAATCTTAGAAGCTGTTTTAATATTTATGTATTTTGTCTAGCACCTCGTAGTTGTAATCAAATTCGAGCAGATGCTAATTTGGGCAATCACTGATACTCAACGGTATTTTCTCAAAGCAGTACCTTAAGTATAAACAGTAACGTATTTGTATTTACAATTGAGACTTAATTTGTTTGGGGGATTTTATCCTCCCAATTTTTTTTTTTTTTTTATTGCCTTTGTAGGCAGACGAGCGTACGGCCCACCTGATGGTGAGTGGTTACCGTCGCCCATGGACTTCAGCAATGCTAGGAGCAGAGCCAAGTCGCTGCCTACTGCTTAATACTCTCCACAAGCTTCGTTTGAAGAAGGACATCTCATAGCGCTCGGGAAACACCGTGGAGGGGAAGCTCGTTCCATAGCCGGATGGTACGTGGCAAAAAAAACCTCTGGAACCGCACTGTGGATGACCGCAGTGGCTCAAGGTAGTATGGATGAACTCTACTCCGGTGGCGGGCGGTGTGATGGTAAAAACGAGACGTTGGTATCATCTCGAACAATTCCTCAGAGCACTCCCCATGGAACATGCGGTACAAAATACAGAGGGAACCGAAGTCTCTCCGCAGACGCAGAGGCTCCAAGCGATCCGTGAGAATGGGATTATCGACAATCCGAATGGCTCTCTTCTGTATGGAGTCAAATGGAAGAAGCTCGTATTTGGGAGCCCCGGCCCAGAGATGGGAGCAGTACTCCACGCGAGGCCGGACTTGTGCTTTATAGAGCAAAAGTATTTGTCCAGGCGTGAAGTACCGCTTCACTCTGTTGAGGATTCCCAGCATTTTGGACGCCAACTTGGATTTGCCTTCCAAATGACTCTGAAATTGGATATCGCTCGAAATGTCGACCCCAAGTATCCCAATACTCCCGGAAGTTTGTAGGGATACTCCTTGGAATTGCGGCGTCATGACAAAGAGGTCCTTCTACGTAGTACAGTAATAATTAGATCTTACTCCATTTTCTCCATAAAAATACACACTATATAAATAAGCACCTAAATTGGCGCTCGTAAGAAAGTTAACGTGTAATTGGAATCTTTTCTTAACGAACGGTTTTTAGTTACACGATCAGGACGTATATAAGTCACGTAACAGATTAATGGCTTGAGATGTCTTCTATTATTCGGTTTTCTCGACCCGTAGACTAATCAGAAGTACATTACGGCTTAAACGTAAATTGTAAAATGAATTATTAAATTATTTGAGATT